TTAAAGAAGTAAGAAGGCAGACGATAATATAATTTTCAAAACAAATCCTTTTTTTAGAACTTATTTAAAATTTTGAATCGACGGATATTAATAAAAAGACAATAAACAAGGGACGCGTTACGTTTTTTATTATTAAAAAATTACGGGAAAACGTAAAGGCTCAATTTGTGCGCGCTATAAAGACAAGATATAATTCTCATTTAGCCATAATTCTTTGCCTCGGCCCGATTAAGAAAAGGGGAGAGGGGGGTCTTAAATAACCCAACTTTCTGAAGCTGTAGGTCCTAACAAAAAATTACCAGGAAAATTATTAATCCAGTCGGGACTGCAAATGAAGATATCAGCCAAAGGGAGGGGGGAGTACACATATAAATCATCATCCATTTATTTTGGTCATGAAAGGGGAGTCTCGGTTGGTTGGATGAGTTGGAGATCCAAGAGGGATTTGGAACGTGATGTAAAACCCATTCATCCAAGTCCCAAAGCAAAGAATCAAGATATATAAAACATTGAAAATTAATAATTTGTTCTTGAGTTATATATTAACAAAAAATCGATGCGGAGAAAATATGTACGATTTATGAATTTTTAATAAAATGAAAAAGTGTTATTTCTGTCGTAAATCGACTTTATATATATTTTATGTTTTTTTAAAAAAATTAACAAATCTTAAGCAGACGTCTCCTGGCTAGGAATCATCAATCGATTTTCTCAATTCGCATCATTCCTTTCTGGTGAATGTTCATGCGCGTAACGGTAAGCTCTGATGGCCCCATAATAATAGACTTACCTAAAAAAAAACCGGTGAGAGAAGCCGCGAGAGTATCATATGCACCCCACATTTTTTTCTTCTACATTTTTCTTCTCCATTTGAAATATATTTTTTCATATTCTTTACTTCTTTCGGAAGTTTCTAGATATGAGCATTTTTGCGGATTTTAGGGAAACAATTTATACATGTAAAAAATAGAGCTTATATCTAAACACATGTATGCGCATTTTTTCGAAGTATGCGCGCGCAGTAGAATCGATATTTTACGGCCGAAATCCGAAAGTGGCCAGGTGGGTGCAATTAATTGTATATCTCAGGCTCAAAATATTTAGCATTTAATCCATCCATTTTTATCCCTTCTCTCAAGTTTAAAATATTCTACTCAAAAATGACTGACAATTTTAGCGAAGTTCAATATTGAATAAATGTCGTATTTTGTTAGATAAAATATCTTTACCAAGATGCAAAACGACTCGAATTCGATTTCCGACAATATCAGTTTAATAGACAATATTAGGATAAGGTAGAAAGGTTATGTATGGATATGAGGGGGGTTAATATATTTTTTTAAATGGTTTTGATTTTAGTAAATTGCTATATGTCGGCCAAAATCCTATGTCATTGCCAAAATGAATATTTTTTTTAAAAAAAAATTTACCACAAAATTTACGTGTCCTTTTTTTGGGGAAAAAATAGAGTTGGAACAGATTGGTGAAGCAATAAACCGGAAAAATTATTAATCAGCTAAATTGGGCTTTTTGAAATTTGCACCCAGCTAAAAGTCCTTTTTCCTAAATTGGTCCGATTCCTCAGTCTAGCCTGGATCGTCGATCTTTGTCAGAAAAAAAGCTCCGCTGTTAATATAATCACCCCTCCTCTCTACCCTCTTTTTAAAAAAATCTCTCACCACGAGGTAAAAAAAATATCAGCTATTATTATATTCTTGCCATTTTTTAATATTTTTTTTAAAAAAAAAAAACATCTAGTAGTTTTGAGTTTGGAACAGGAGCAAGAATCGGTAACTCGAAAAGCGCGCCAAAATCTGGGAACCGGAAAAAGACCCATCTTTTTTAAAAAAAATTTAGCGAAACCATTTTAAAAATATATTAATCAGAACCGAAAAACAGAACCCATTTTAAATTCATGTTCCAAACTCCTTGTTTTCCGAGGTTTGGTAGGATTTTTAAAAGTCAGGAAAAACGCGGTTATGTCCTAGATGCATCTTCTGAATTTGTATTACTAAACTTCTCATATAGATTAGCCTTAAAATACGATGGGTGTACAAAGGTTTAAAAATTTCCCCAAAAATATTTTGTCCATTGAAAAAAAAACAAATCCGAGTTAGATTAGAACTTTGATCAATTCTTCTTAATAGCTAGATCAATCTATTATTCGTAGAGATAGACGCGGCTAAACCCAAACTGGCCCCCTAACCGGTTAGTGAAAGTTTTGGAAACGGTTTAAGCCCAACCCGACCTGTAAAATTATTTTGTATAAATTGAACAATCCAGCCCGCGATAATTTTTTGTTCCGCCCAATTTGTAATCCTTTTTTAAAAAAAATATATTCGCGAACTTTAGGCCCGTTTCGCAAAATTATTTTGCCCAAGTTGATTTTCGCGACTCAAAAAAATCTGTCCATGCCGGGGTTCTAGCGTAAAGTATGAATAGTGATTCGGAGAAGCGGGGGGAAAGGCGGAGAAGAATATTAGGAAAATTAAATTAATTAGATTTTTTTTTTAAAAAAAAAAAAGCTAATGTTTTATGACCCAAATTTCTAAATGTAAAACAAAACATGTATAAACATTTTCGCGAATGAATGAATTTTTAGAAGAATATGTTATCATCATTATTATCACATTTCCTCTTTTAATATAATAATACAACAAATATTTTTTTTTCTTATAAACTTATTTTCGATCAATAATGGCAGATAGAACTATTTAATAGTGAGCAAAAAAATTAGTTCTATTTAAAAAATTATTCAGTAATTTATATTCATTAAGCTGCAAAATAATGCATGTTTTTAATTTTTAGACCCGGCTAGGATTCACGTGATTTTGATCATAGTCTGCCTTTAAATTTGGTAACTCCAAAATGAAAGGGTTTAAATTAAAAATTTATTTAGTTTATCTCAATTACATGATCAAATTTTAAAAAAATTGTATAATTAAAAATAAAATTTTATAATTGAGTTCCCAATAAGGAACCATAATTATATCTAAAAATTTCTATACGAATTTTTTGGCACATATAATGATTCTTCGTTTGCCAAAAAGCCGCATTTAATTGCCTATAATTTTTTAAAACACTTATATGTTAACTGGCGAAAAATGGCCGTTATTCGAAGTCACCATTTGGAGTGAATATGAAGTTGTTAAAAGGTAATCAAAGATATGAGAAGCAATCATGTGATTGATTTTCAGAAACCTGGCTTTACTAATGTAAAGGTCGGAAACTTTCCTTGGAAATCCAAGTAATATTTCTGTAAAGGTTCTCGATCAACAATTTAAAAATTATTTTCAAAATTCATAGGAATTTCAATTATATTCAGAGATGCATCAATACACCCTTTATTTGCTGAACAACTGATACAAATATTTTTTTCAAAATGAGATATAATATTTGAAAAAAAAATAAAGAATATTATAAGATTTTTTTGCTCAGTCTCCATTTCAACAATTAAATATTTTATGGGTTATTAATTGATAAGCCATAAAAAAAATACGCTTAATTTCATAAAATTTGTAGTAGTAAAATTTGTTTTATTCTTCAAAATAAAGTTAATTCTATTAACAAAACTTTAAAAATAGTAGGAAAAATAAAAAAACGTACTTTCTTCTTCAGAAATATTTAATTTTGTGACTCATTTTCAAATAGTATTAATCAAAATTAGCTTGAAATTCAAAAAAATATATCAAAATTTAAATTCCCAGGTTGGCCTATTAAAATTTTGGAGATTTGTAAGGGCCTGTTTGATATTTCATATATAAATGGTCCAACCTTGCCCTAAAATCATGCAGGAATTGTCTAATCTGTTTTAAAAATTTCCTGCTGGCCAGGCCTGATATAATTTTCTGGCCTGGCTAAACCTGTTTTCATTTGTTTTAAGATTTTCCTGGCTCAGCCAGTCCTTGCAGATCTCTATACTAAAGATAAAATAATTCAATTTATTCTTTTATATCAAAAAAATTTTTATTCTTATTTTTTTTAAATCTTTTAATTTATTTACACTCCACTTTATTATCTTTAGGTATTATATTTATTTATTTTTCATTATATATGAGAAAAATTATAATTATTTAAAAAAATGATTTTAAAAATTTTATAAAACTTTACCAGTTAATTAAATTTCAAGGTTCGGCATGACTTGTTCTGGACCAGTCAATAAAGATTTTTAAAATTTTATTTTTCTAGCTCATATGTTTAATCCCAGTCTAGTCCAACCCATAAATTTTTTACCTTGTCCATTTCATAATTATTTTTGGTAAAGGAGAAATCATAAATTCGCATTATTCAAGAATCAAAAGAATCTAAAAAACAAAGCTAATCCAACCAAAATAATAATTTTTAACAAATTTTAGCCCGATAAAGTATTTTGTAAAGTTTCCTGGTCAGATTCCTGGTCAGATTTTTTTAAACTCAGCCAAGAGCCAGGTGGATATTTGATATGAAAATAAGCAGTAAAAGAATTTATGAATCACTGATAGACTGATAAATAGCTTAGCAAAAATTTATTCTTGATTTCATATATCATTTCTTAAAAAATAATTTAAATATAGAGAAATAATTTATATATTATAATAGTAATTTAATATAGTAAGATTTAAATTTTTACACATTAAGCCTATCATATTCCAAAATATATCCATTATATTCATTATTTTGCAAAATATTATGATTTTTTTAATTATTTGAAAGAAACATTATTCATCTCATAATTTTTTAAAAAAAGTACTAATTAGATTAAAATTAATTAATTTTCTTTAAATTTATATTTTTAACTTTCAATAAATGCCAGTTATGTTTAGTTAGAAAAGAAAGAAATTTTAGTTGTTGATTGTAATATGTAAATTGGGTAAACCAATAAAAGCCTATATTATATAACACCCAAATTATTCACTTAAATTAAACTATTTTTAAAGGTATTTTTTTTTAAAAATCAATATTTATAAATTTTCATATGGCTAAAATGATTTGCAAGTTTCTTATTAATAATATCATATTACCTTAAAGTTACTATTATATAACCATTGAACAAGACCATCAACCAAAAATGGTAATTGTTGAGAATCGATGGGATCTGGATTTAATCTTAAGTAGTCTAATATCTCTTGCCCTGTTTTTAGAAGTTTTTTGATATCTTTATCACATATTGCAAGAACAAAATCTTCCATAGTTATTATATGATGGATTAGCTTTTTATCGATAACTTAATTCATAATTTAGCCATGTGAGCGAATTTACGAATGTTCATTTGAAAACTTTTTAACGTACCAAAATAAGAGTTAATTTACGAGATATATTTTTTTTTATTTAAAATTTATATTTTGTATTGAGTATAATATAAGAAATTTTACAACAAATAGATCAGTTATGGCTGTTGTTAGGTATTAGGAGGTGATGTAATGTATTATTCATCAATGGAGAATATAACTCATGTAATTATAGCTCTTCTCTTAGTTCTTCTCTTCTCTTCTCTCTATAATCTATAGCTTTTATTAACATAGCTAGTAGTGGCAGTAACAAAAAATAACTACCACTAATAGTCATAGTCGATTTAAATAGCCCTGGTAATAGTTTTTATAAAAAGTGAACAATGTTTTATTTCCGTTAAAGACTGGTAACTTATTTCCTAAAATCAAGCTTCTTTAATTTAGCTGGTTCGCAAGAACAGATCCTAGGTATCTTTTTTGCAATTGCTTCTCTACTTTTGCGTGTTATGTTTTCTTATTATTACTAGCATATATTATAGGGAATATTAAACTTTAGTATCTATGATTTTTTAATAATTATTTGACATATAATCTATGGGCATCCATTTACTTGTTTGGGCACTAACTAGCTAAGGTTCTAAAATGGGAAAAGTCCTGCTGAATAAAAAAAAACAGTCTGTTTATTACCTTTAAATTAATGGTTATTTTTATAAGCCAATCATCTATATAGGGTAATAAAGTATAGAGTTGAACCTTATAAACTTTTTATGTTATTTATTAAAATATTAGATAGGATCTTAATTCTATCCTTATATATATAAAAAAAAACGTTTTTCCTAGGGATATAAAAACAAAATTATAAGTTTTAAAACTTAAATAAGAAATTACAAAAACTAAGAAATTGATTACATTACATCAACAGTCTCAATACATTATAAATTGCATAGATATATATTTGACTCCAGCAAGGACCGAGGTTTCTATAGCCAACTAAGTAGCTCTGTGTTACGAGGCAGGGTTGGGTAGTATCGCGGATATTTGTATCTTTTATTAATTTTTGGAAAGTATCTTGTATCCAGTATCTAAGATACATATTATTTAAAAGTATTTGTATCTTAACCAACTTTGTATTCAAAAAGTTACAGTTACTTTAAAAAAAATTTATATTAGTTAATTTAAATAGTTTTGAATACTTTTCTCCCAATACTTTTCTCATATTTTCTGCTAAAATTTTAATTCGTGAATTTTATTGTAATAATTATTTTTTATCGTTGCTTACCAAATATACTAGGATCCTACATCGAAACAGAGAATCTCCTTAATTTCTAGTTAGCATATTCAAGTGAAGCTCATGCACAAACTCAAGGGACCACTACTTATCTCTTCTCTAAATATCAATGGCCTATGGAATAAACTCGCCATTTTTAGACTAATGACAGACGAGTAAATCGACATAATCGCTCTACAGGAAACCCATGCCCTGGGTAACGTCACGGCAACCTTTAACCACTTTATTTTATACTGCTCTGGAACCACTTCAAATATCTGGTCAGGCGTCGGGTTTTTGATTAACAAGAATTCATAGTCACATAAATAAGTTTACACCTATCTCAGAGAGATATGGGCTATTATACATCAACACAAATTATAGGCCAACAATACTGGTAAATATCTACGCACCTCGAAATAGGAGAGACAGGTTACTCTTTCTTGACGATCTGGAGAATATAATTAATACTTTACCTAGAAGATATAACATAATCTTGTTAGGTGATCTAAATAACAGGATTGGTTTGGAGAAGATCTATAAAAGGAACAACATCATTGGAAATGCAGCCCTCGCACAGCTCAATGGGGATGACAGTCGAAAATTACTTGATCTATGTGGTAGTAACAATCTTCAAATTGAAAATACTTTCTTCTCTCATAGGGAGGTAAATACACTCACCTTTAGAAGGGGAAATTACAAATCGCAGATAGACTTATTCATCTCAAATGTTCATGGCTGGTTCAAAGATGTAATAACCATGACGAGTGTTAATTTATCTGATCACAAAATGATAAAGCAAAGATTTTGATAAGGAATTCATGGGGAACCTCAATTGGATCGAATAACACCCCCAACCAACCTGTTACACTCCAAGCAAAATATTGATAGTTTATAAATACCAGAGGTCAGAGAATGCTTCGACCGTAGACTAGGTGAGAAGGCTACAAATTTTGAAAGCATATCCCGGGCAAAAACGGTGAAAGAATGCTGGATGATCTTTAAAAATGACATTCACGAAGCAAGCAAGGTATTAGGAGGAAACAACTTTTAGGAAGGAATAAATGGAAATCCACCACTACTATGATAAAAATTGAGGAGTTCCGTTCAAAAGGTCACTTTAATAGGGAACTGTGGAAATCTTGCTTAGAAGTGACAGAAGAATTTTCACGGTGAGAAAAGCATACGAGATTGATGCTGATATGAGAGGAAACAGGCTTTTTGACGCCTACAGCAAACTCAAATATTTTTGCAAATCTAAGATCTTCAAAAAACTTCCTTCAATTCGATTGGAGAATTACAGAATTATAATTGATCAGGATGATCAATTGGCGCTTTGGACAGATCATTACATGAAGATCTTCTAATCCACGAAAACAACAAGCGTATTATCTGAACTCCAAGCTACTCCTCAATCTACTTCTCAATTTTCACATACTGAAATCTCTACTGCACTTAGAAAACTTAGAAATCACAAAGCTCCCGGCCCAGACAATATTACTGGTGAACATCTTAAAGCAACATCAGATGCTGTACCACGCTTCCTGCAAATCATCTTTAATAAAATTTGGTCTACAGGGGTGACACCGAAGGATTGGAATCTACATTCTTTACAACTTCCCTAAAATTTCAAATCCCACTAAATTCGGAGATTTTAGGGCAATAGCACGTACCTCGACTGCATCTAAGATCTTTATAATCCTCAAGATTCGCATATTACAAACATCGCAAAACCTCTTCGCCAAGTATATTTGTGCTTATCGCCCAGGCAAAAATATTATGGAACCTTTTCTTGCTCTTAAAACATCATCCAAAAATGTGACAGGTATAAACTACCTTTCTTTTTCACATTTATCGATTTTAAACAGGCGTTTGATAACGTTAATCATGATGCGCTTTGGAAGATTTTATAAGAAGTTGAGGCTGACCCGAATATAATCAAGACATTACGATACCGTTATAACAATTTGCTTACCTCATACAGAATAAATAATAAAAGCTCTCCGCCGTTTAGGATTAGAAAAGGAGTGAAACAAGGCTGTGTTCTCTCGCCTATCCTCTTTAACATAGTTATGAATAAAATTTTAAAAGATACTTTCTCCGAGTAATGTGTACAATCTAGAGAACAGGATTATATCCTACGCCGATGAAGTGGTAATCATCACCAAGGACTTAGAGGAAACTTTGAATCTTAGTCATTTCTTGAAATTGATGAGCTCGAAAGTCGGATTAGAAATAAATTTCAAAAAAACCATGATTCTGTTAGCAAGACACACGTCTCCCATAGAGAGTATTGATGTTGCGTCTGAGGTGATTAAGGTGGTTACTCAAATAAAATATCTAGGAATTACCCTAGATAATAGAGGGGACTGTAAAGAAGAACTCAGGCTAAGAATACAAAAAGCTAGGGTAGCCTTCTACAAGTACTTCAAGTTGTGGAAGACAAATGAGATACCTGCCTTTACACAATTACCTATCTTTAATTCTACTGTGATTCCTATTCTATTATATGGCTGTGAAACGTGGGAAATAAGCAAAGCCGATAACAGAAAATGTCAAACGTTTATCAACAAGTGTTTAAGGATAATTAACGGTGTTTTCTATTCCAGACTAATATTGAACGAAAGGTTATGGAGACAATCAAAACATACTCCTTTCCACATCATACTAAAGAAAAAACGAATTCATTTCTTAGCTCACATTCTGAGACATCTCAACTGCAATTTGGTCCACGATGCTTTAACTTGGCTCTTTACCTACAAAGGTAAGTCATACAGTAGATACAAGGCGTTGACTTTTCCAAAAAATCAACCAATAAAAGTTTTTGAGCCCTAGCCCGTTCGACTTATAATGAACGATATTTTTCAATATTCAACTGTTTATCAAAAGAAAGGCGAACGCGAGTAAAATAAAAAAAAATATTGATACCTATCACTTTTTGATTAAAGATTTTTTTAATTATAAAAGAGTTGATTAGTGAATTCAATGAGTAAAATTAGAAAATAAATTAGGCAGAATTATACTATTTTTAAAAATCCGTAATTTTTCTTGACCTTCATGAGCGTTATATAAATTTTGCTTTTCGTGAGTGGACGGGGCGGGCTAAAAAAAATAACTGAATATCATACATGAGTGTGCTTAAAATATTTTAGTATAAACGTGAGTGTGCGGGTCGTGAATAAAAAATCAGGCCCACGCCCACCTCTAATATTTATTAAAATAAAATATGTCTTATTGAATTTTAATAAAATTTGATCTTTGTTTAGCAAATTTCTCTGTTGTTTAGCAATATGCTATATGATGGCTAATGTTGTATAAAGTGGTAATATTTTTTTGATTGCTCGTCAACTCTGCCCTTAGACTTTTTTAAATATTTTATTGTATTTCCAGTGGTGTCAACCATTTTATGTGCAAAGTTTATTTATATTTGTGTTTTCTTTTATTTTGGTTAAGTATCTTCTTTTTTTGTAATGAACTATATATCCTAAATAGCGGGAGAATTTAGAATAGAGGCGCAGAACATAAGTATTTTTGAAAGATCTAAATAGGTTTTAGATTTAAAAGAGATCGTATTAGAAAAAATTAAGAACTTGTATATTCAAAAAATGTTCCTTTTTTTACATTGCGTTAAATTGAATTTTCCCTATAAAAGGGGCCGAAATCATTTTATATTAAAGATAATATGTAGGTTTATAAACTTATAAAAGTTTTAACCTTACACTACTAACCTTATGAACGAGTTTCTTTAATACTAGTCTATCGTAAAAATTAAGACGTTATAAAATTTTAAATAATTTAAGAAACAATTGTAGACAAAAACTGTTATGTATAATAATCGTAAAACATCAACGAATGCTAAAATAAAATTTAATTATAAAAATTGCATTTTTGGCAATGGTGTTTTGTTTGATATATCCGACAAATGTCTTTTTTTGCAGTGTCCGCAGATTGTTGTCATCATACGCCTCAATTTTATTTGGAAAAACTTGCAAATAATAGATTTGGGAGGAATTTCACTTTTTTGCGTTTGGGTTTTTCACAAGAATATTTTCGATCATTATCCGTATAAAGTAATGCAATTTAAGAGAAGGTGTTACCACTGATTTATTAAATTTTCATATAATTTTACGCAAAATACCTTTCTTGTTAATATAAATAGATTTTTATTATTCATAGTACTTTTATATATAATCCTAGAATTGCAAGAATCATTCAATAACCCATAAAATTTACATAATAGCCAACTCACCAAAAAAAATTTTACGTTTTGACTTATCATTCGTAATTTTTTTACAGAAAATAATGAATATTTAACAATCTTATCTCCGTAGTTTATAAGTGATCGTTTCCCTATCTTCTTAATGTTAATTTAATTTTATCTATCAACTTTCCTCTCATATTAATGTTATAAAATTGAGGGAGGCTAAATACCTAATAAATTTTCGATCGATTCACCAGGCTTATCCGGCCCGACAAAATCGGTTTTAGATCAAAATTTGACTTCTGAAATGAATTTTTTTTTGCCAACGATTAGATTTGAACCCTTGCCCCTCCCATTCGCTCTAGAGACAAAGGTTCTCCCCAAGCACCCTCATACATTTTATAAAATAAGACCAATATATTTATCAGAGTTGTTAAAATATACTTTCCAAATGGATCTAGATATAAATACATAGTCTAAAAGACGCATCTAGAGATACAATTTTTACTTTACTTATATATAAGGGTTTGCGGTTGTTTTTGAACCGATACTTTTATGTAGTGTTTTCAAAAGGCTCGATTAAGATTATAAATATAATGCTATTATGGAAACCTGGAGATTTTGCTGATAGGTGGTAGAAAGGTTTGGACATCTGTTTGCCAAATCTCGAGGCTTACACAATATTATTTTGGTTAAAATCTTAATCGAGCGTTTTTAAAAATCAACCAAAATCGGGCTTTTTAACAACACTATTATTAAGTGAGCTCAAAGTACGTATACAATATTTTTATATTTTGTTCTCATTCAATTCGAACATCATATAAAAAAAATAATATAATGTCAATGCTGTTGTAGCTGTTGAAAAAAAGAAATAAATTTAATATAATACATCAAATGTCAGTTATTTTCTGACAAGAAAATAAGTTTTCCTGGTGGATGGAGGGAAAACGTGATCATCACATGGGTTGTTGTTAAAAAAGAACATTCTTTGTTTGGATTTGGAGTTGAGATATTGAAGACGAGATTGATTGGGAAGATTTAGTATATTTATATTTTATATATATGCTGAATAAAGATGAATTGTATTAATGTTTATAATATTTATTTAATATTATTAGAAAGGATTATTTTGGATTGATAAGTTATATTTGTGAGAGTAAAGGGTTGAGAGTAAAGGGCCTTTTATTTTTATTATTTTTCAAAAAATGCCACTACTTTTTATCGTTTTTTCGAACATATTCTAATTTAAAACGAGCATTTATAAAAAAAAAGATTATATTAAAACATAATTTATTCATTAAAAGTCAGCGGAATATCTTGAAAATTATTTTAAAAAATAGTAAATAAATTTATTAGCTTGAAATTAGAGATCTGCAAAAGAAGGCCCGGCCCGTACCCGACTCAAACAAGCTTCGGGCTCAGCTTTATTTTAAAATTTGGTTCGGATTTTTTTAAATATATTTAAATTATCTATTTTATATTGAATATTTTAGGTTAAATAAAAATATTTGATTTTATTTATAGAACTAGACGCCATATAACATATGTCTTTTATTTTGAGTAATTATAAAAACTAATTTCTATATTTAAATAAGTTGGGGCCGAGTCGGTAAATTTTCTTTAAAAAAATTTCGGGTTCGGGCCGGGTCGGCAAAACTTTTTTAAAAAAATTCGGACGTGGCCGGGTTTGAAAAATTCGGACCGGGCAGGGTTTGAAAAATTATGCCCGATGCAGATCACTACTTGAAATAATTTTATGCATCGATGGTACTGTTTTTAATAATTAATAGGCGTCCACTTTTTTTAAAAAGTGGCATATCTAGATAATATTTTATCTGTCACAAACTAGACTGGAGGGAATTCCACCAGGTTTCATGGCCCGTTAGAGATTTGCACGGAGATACCCCAGCCAGGCCAAAAAATTTCCTAAAATTTGGGCTCGGCTCGTGAATATTTTTTATACGAATTTTCCGATAACAAATTTTTAATATCTATAAATAATATTTTTTCCCCAAAATCAATTAAGTTAATTAATACTCTTATTTATAACTATATTTATGGCTATCTATTTTTACAACAACCTTTTTTATAAATCATTTGTGTTTGATATCTGAATTGTATATTTGTTTATTGGATTAATTTAATGTTAATTTACTATATTATTTATAGATTTCGTATTTTAAGTTAGTAGACAGCTGTTAAAATAGAAAGATATCAATATATTATAATTTATTTTAAATAGTAAATCAAATTATTAGATTTATACCTGAACTGTATTAAAATTTAACGAAAAATCCCGAATTTGCGATATTCCTTTGCATGATTTTTATATTTAATTAAAATCATATTATTTTTTTGAAAATTTAAATACATTTTCTACTCTTTCTTTTCTTTTTTGGAAAACGTAGGCAAGAAACTTTTAATTTTGCAAAATCACGATTTTTCTTAAAAATCAAATCATTTCATTCACAAAATTTAAGACAAATAATCGTTAAAAAGTTAACTGGATTACAAATTTTGAGTAGCTCAAAAATGTGTTTCAAAAGTAACTTAATTGAGGTAACATTTTTAAAGTTATAATTTAATACAGCAATTGGGTGTCTAAAAAAAATAGCTATAATAAGTGAGTGGTTATCTAGTAATATTTAATTCAACTACATTAAACAACAGTTTAAAGTTATAGTTTTTTTAAAAATGCAAACCATTAAAAACACCACATCCTATGACAAATGAATGATAACTTTAGTCATTTATTTATATGTAATTAGGAAAAATTTTTGCTTTCCTTATTTTTAAATTTAGAAATAAAATAAATAGTTCGTATATTGTATTATAAATAAATAATAATCGCGCTGCTCCATTATCTAATTTTGAACTCCCTCATTTGGGAAAATATGCAGGCATGTATTTGTAGTAGGCGTCAAAGTCAATCTGAAGAAACAAGCAAAAAATAACGTTATCAACGTCCATGTAGCCCCGGTCGGTTTCTAACCAAAGTCGGACTGTGTTGAGAGCTATTTGGCAAGCGTTTTCGTTCGGGTAACCATAGACGCCCGTGGAAATGCAAGGAAAGGCTATGGATTTCAGATTTTTGGACCTCATCAAACTTCACAGGTTATATTTGTTAAAAGGTATCATATATAGCAAGATAGAAATAATAATTATGTATTTTCTTATTTACCATCCTTGAATCGCCCATACATTTTTATAAAGATTCACAACATTTCTTTCTCGAATTCACATTACAATTTATTGGTGATTAATTGTACAATTCCCAACTTTGACGTTATTATTCATGATCAAAAATCTTAAGCTATTCATGATATCGGAAAATTATTTTTTTTGCACAACAAAATATGAATTTTAACCCTTCAGTTGGTAAGGAGGAAAAAAAACTTCCTCGAGTGGTAAAATGGGATTAATGAGACATCCGTTGTTATCATTTAACACCTCATTAAAATTTTAAGCATTTACGAAATTTAGTTTACCGAAAATGGTAAATAAAAATAAACTTTAAAAAGTTTTTTGTAAAGATCGCTAAAAAAAATAATAGCTGAAATATATTTCCACTGACTTTTTCAAAATTAATAAATATCTGACAAATAATCATAAATCATAATACTTGTATTTAAAATAAACATTAGTAAATTTTAATTGGTGAGGAAAAATATTTTAGATTTCTGATATTTTTTTTAAAAAAAAACTTACTTAAAGTCATATTTTTCAGTAATCCAACCAGTGTTAAAGGTTTATAATTTTAAAAACTAGCCAGCATAATTTGAAAATTTTCCTAAAAAGATCATTTTATATTAACAATTAATTTTCTAGATATCTTGGATCTTGAAATCCATCTTACCAGTTGAAGGGTTAAGAAAATATTCTTCCTAACTTCAAGCAATTTTGATAGCATTGGGCCAATTTTTGGGGGTTTTCTCCAATCGGGCCCACAGTATGGATGACGTACTTAGCTGGCAGGTTATAACCACCCGTTATTTTGGCATCACCCATCTCGCAACCGCCCAGGAGCAAGCACTCTGATTTTAGGTCTGGTCCAGCAGCTAAATGAATAGCTCCATCTACCCCTCCACCTCCCGTCAAGGATTTATTAGCTGCATTCACTATACAATCAATTTCTAATGTCGTTATATCGCCCTTGTATATGTAAATTTTTGAGTTTATTTCTGGAAATATCTTGTAGTGTGAGTTTATTTTGTCATTTGTATCTATTAATTAATTATTTTTGCAATATATTTATTGTGAGTTAATAAAACTCTTCATTGGAGAGTGGGGGGGGGGGGGGGGGTAGTAAGTGAAGCCAAGGAAAATTTTTGTGGAATTAAATTATAGAAAAACTAATGATTATAAATTTCATAGGGGGGATTAAGGTCAATTTATATAAATATCAACGTTATTTTTAGAAAAACAAATAAATTGGCATTATTCATGCATATCAAAAAAACGTAAATAAATTTGGTGTATAGGTGTGGCTAGTATTTTCATGGGGACCAGGTTCCGTTATGATTTGAAACAAGATCAAAATGGTAAACCCAGTTCAGTTTAAAGTGGGCTGGGAAAAAATAGGTTCAAATAATCTTTTTAAAATGAGAATTAAAATATTAATTAAAAATTTTAAAAAATTATTTTGAAAACTAAATTTAAAATTGTGTTTTTTAGGGGTATATAATATTTCATTCAACACTAATGCAAATTATAATGTAATTTTGAATACCTTTATAACATTTAAATTATTTATATTTATTCTTTTTATTCATCAGTACTAAATCATACTTATCCTATCAGAACATGTCTAATTTATCCTCATAAAATTTTTTTAATGAATCTAATTGGTTAAGGTCCCACTGAGATTAAAAATGGGTCTAGATTCGCAAAATTCAATCTGAATCTTGTTCACAGCTCCAGGAAATCTCTAAGCAATAAAACACTGGAAGTATCTATAATTGGTAACTTTTAATCTTATACTTATTGTCAGGTCTATATCAGGAAAAAGAAATATATTAAATGTCTCTCAAGCTATCCATTGTGTTAAATATTTATTTATTTAAATAAAAAAAATTCTAGGGGCAGTTTCAAGTTTTAAGAGCAATTGTACAATGTGAGTCCTAGATGTTGTGTTTATATCATAAAAATAAAGCAAGTTAACCTGGTAAATCTAATTCTGCCCAGCTTATTAAAGATTTTGGTTCCACATATTCATTCTTGCACTTATAAAATTTTCTTTTATTATTAGGAGTCAAATTCAAATAGTATTCTATTATAAAAATTTACTATATATATGTATATATATAAAATCACATATTTTTACCCTTTGTTAAAGTAATTTCAGGATCTTTTACTTCTTTTGTATTTTTATCAGAAGGCATTTTAGTTAAATATCTAATGTTGTGCTTATAAAGTAGGCAAGTTAAATTAAAATATCGCATTTGTGAAAGTCATCTCATTAGTTTTTGAAATATTTATGATATATGGTTCTGCGTAAAAAAACACCGAAAAAGGAGTGACTGGCTGAAGTGAAGTTTTCAGTCATTAATCAGCTGTTTTGTACAATGTTAGTTTTTAACAACTTACATTATTTAAATTATTCTTTCAGCATATGGAATTCAACCATTTTAGATGTCATTCTTATGAAAACAATATTATTGAAAGTAATAACTTATCATATATATACAACTACATTACAATATTAATAATTATAATGAAACTAACTTAATGCTACAGAATTTTATTTAAGAAATTTTTAAATATATCATTTTGAATTATTAAATTCTATTTAAAAAATATAAATAACATTGTATTCATATGCAACTAAATATGTAATTAAAATTTTATTGAAACTAACTTAATATAGGATTTTATGTAAGAATAATTATATCATTTTAAATCTGTCTTATTTTCAGTATTAATTTATACATTCTTATGCAACAACATATGTAATTATATAATTATAATAATGAATCTAACTTAATATAAAATTTTTTATAAAAAGTATATTATATCATTTTTAATTTGTATAATAGTTATTCTTGTAAATTGCTATTATTAATATGGATATTGATTGTTTTCTTTATATAACATCCATTATTATATCAAAATATTAATTATCCCCCCCTTCAGAAATTTATCATGTAAATATCATTTTTAGCTAATAAAAAATATCCCCCTTAGTCCTCCCCCCACTCCCTGACCCTCAAATATGTATGCATATATCTTAAATAATAATTTAAAGAAAGAATGTAAAAGTTGATATTTTTTTATAAAACTATTCATCATAATTTATAGATTTTTGGAAAAATAAATTTATAAATATATAAAATGAAATAAAAATGTTTTTTAATAAATGGAATATAAGCCAAAGATAAGTCTTAAGACAGAAGTGAAATGTATTATAATTATTAATAATAGATCCATAAAATTACTAAATAATATAATATATCAAATATATTTTTTTATAAAGTGAGTAATTTTAATTTATTTATCTTAATAAAAGTAAAATATAATTATAAAACTATTGATAAAATTAAATCATAAATTAAAAAAATATTAAAGCACAATACAAACAGTGGAATATTATATGTCGTAGATTTACAGTATATCTAATTATCAAATGACAATCAAGTAATTTTTACCAATATAGCGAATTATATATTTTACAGAAAACTATAAAATATTGATAAGGACATCAGAAAATATCTTAAGACATTGTGGGATGAATAATATGAAGATTAAATTAAATATCATTTTTACTTTAAATAAATAGATGGCGTTAAATAATTGAATGCAAATTGTTGCTATATTTAATATCAAGAGCATTGATTAGTAAAATTTGTTAAATTATTAACTGTAATATATTCTCTAACTGTCAAATATGTCTGTAAAATTGGAATTTTACCTAGTATTTTATAACTAATTCTATATAATAGAGTAAAATCAACTATATGTCTACTTACTTTTTATAAATAAATTTCTTATAATTGTTTGGAATAAATTATTACCATGCTTTTATATTATATACAATACAAGTAATTTATTATATTTTTATTTTATATAAACTAATAAAAATATATTTCATATTTGTTCCAGGCTTATTTTTTTTATTAAAATTTGTAAATATTTTTTATGACCATATATAGACTAAAGTAACCCGGCCGAAGGCCCGCCCAAAAGGGAATCTGGGGGCGAAGCCCCCTATAATTTTTTGATTCCCCCCTTATGAAAATCCTGGCTACGCCTATGTAATAAATACTACTTTATTTTTTGCAAATTTTATATATATATATATACGTAATGTTTAATTGTGTCTATAAGCTATTAAATATTACCCAAAGCAAATATAATTTATCATTTTAAGAAAATTAGGTTTGGACCAATGATAATGGTTTGGACTAATAGGTTTGGACTAGTGTTGTTAAAAAACCTGTTTGGGTCGATTTTTAAAAACCAACCGAATATGGTTATAGCCAAAATAATATCAAGCAAGCCTCAAGATATGGCAAATAGGAGTCTAAACTTTTCTCCCATCTATGAGCAAAATCACCAAGCTTGCATAATATTATTTTGGATAAAATCATAAACCCGCCATTTTTTTAAATTGACTCAAATGGGGCTTTTTACTAGTAAGAGCTAAGGGCAAGTTTTTATTAGTGTCTAGGTGAGTGTCTTTTTTTAAATTATCCTGTATGCGTGACCAAAGTGGATGAATTGTTACCTGCTGTGTAGGATTAATCTAATAAGTACAATATTAGATGATTAGATATTCTATTATTTATAGGTTAATGACTTATATTAAGCTTGTGGATCACATTGGGGAGGGGAGGGGGAGGGGGGGGGGGTGTTAGCTTAGGCTATGCAATAGAGATAGGGTTGTTTATAGTAAATCAGGAGAAATACTCATTTTATTAGAAACCATATCCACTACATTTGGGAAAATCTAAAAGATACTTAGGGCTACTGAACAGCGCGAAGTAGCTAATTAGCTTCTCTTATTGTTTACCAAAGTATACAGTTCAGATTGAATCCCAATACAATCCTGAACCGCGGTAGTGGTTAGCTTATGTCTATACTGCTAGATAAGGGTTAGTCTTTATATTGATGAGGAGGAATGCTCATTTATTACCAAACCTTCTACAATTGGGTTAACTGAAAAGTTACTTAGGGTACACATGCTTTATAAATTTTGGCTATTATTTGCTTACTTTTGAAAATACCCAAAAGAACGCACTTATTATAAACGGGGCCTTATTCTTCGTCTATTTTGCTAGTTATGATTAGTTTTTTGAATTTTAAACATTGGAGAAGACAGGTAGGTATAAATCTTATATTGAATACCTTTTCTTTTTAACATAAATAAAATCTAGATTAATGGGATTTGAATGTGTCTCAGGATTTCAAAATAATAATAGATTGCTAGGTTCCCCAATTAATTAGTATGATAGGGGTGGTTTTCTTGATGGCCAACTGCTAGCTTCAACAGTGCTCGGAGTCCACGCAACCTAATCTCAGTTGAAAGGAGATTTTCTGGATTAAAACTTCCTTCCTCATAACAAAACTTGGAAAACCTCTAGTTTTTTATAAAACCCAACCGAACCGTACCTTATTAATTTTAACAGAATCGTAATCGAGATCAATGTATTTTTTTTGTCCCTGGACTTTAACTTTTATTTGTAACAGTTAAAGTATTTTACCATTTTGGTTAGCACCTTTCAAAATGATGAAGAATCCGAAAATAAATCACAAATTCATATTTTATTTTGATTATATAAATTATGATCTATTTAATGGATGAATTCAAATAAAATATCATTAGGTTTTTGGCTGCTAACAAGGATTATCGGCATCAAAAAAAGGGTATTGGTAAATTTCTGGCGATAATTTTGAGCGTCCGACTTCCTATAAATCCACTGACGCTTGCCAGCCCCAGGAAGGGGAATTTTTTTTCCAACCTTTTATATATATTATTGTATGGCTCAAGCATTTTGATATAATTATTATCCTGTCTTTCATATTTTTAATAAAAATATTGTCATTAATCACTTTTTGAATAAATATGACTTAAAATTAAGAAGTTTATAAACAATTTAATTAGGTTTTTTAAATAAAACGCCTTAAAAATAATAAAATATAACAATTATGAAAATAATAAGATACGACTTACACGATATTTATCGTATCAATTAGTATAATACTTTATAAATATTTTGTATTTTTTATTAAAGCTAAAAATATTTTTAAAAAATTAATATATTATAAAAATAATAAATATTCTCTCTATAAAATATTTTAAAAAAAAATAAGATTTCTTTTTTGCAAAAATTATAAAATAAATATATTTATAAGTTATAATAATAATGAGAATATTATCAATTTTCGGAGCGCCTTTAAATTTAAAAAAAAATATACCCTTATTATTAGATTAAAATGACATAATTAGCTGTTTATAGATAATAGGATACAATACTTAAAAAATATTCTATAAACGAATCCATAAAAATGTATATAATGAAAAAAAAATTCCTTTTTTGAACTCAAAAAAAGGTCATTAAAAATTATTGAGCAAAAAAATGAATAAAAAAAATATAACTCAGTATGAGGATTAAAGTCTTTTCGGAATTAATGGACATTGACAATATGGATATAAAAAATATATTAATTAAGACTTTAAATAGAACTATATATATAATTATTACATGAAAATAATTGCAACTTTTCAAGTCCCGCGATTTTCTAATTTAGGAATTTTACTTTAATTACACAATTTACCCTCACATTTGATATTTAGAAAACACATTACAATCTAAATAACGAGATTTTAAAAGTACAACGTTTAGACATTATTTGCAATTATATTTTATACAACATTCAGTGATGCATTCTTTATGTTGATGGTTCTTCTGGAATACTCCTGGTATTTATCTCTTGGTAAACATGATCTTTCACGGGTTTGGGGCTTATACGCGGCTTTTGCGTGGTAATGATATTACTATCGTGATTAGGCGAACTTTGCCGTGCTTTTGGATCTGTATCCAATTTTTTATCATTAACTTCGTCTAAATCGTTAATGTTGAACGGACAATTATTGATACTATTTTTGTCTAGTGTGTAAATACTATTCTCCAGCAAAATGTTCCTAGAGTAAGGATAGTAATAATAATTATGGTTGTTTCCTACCTCTTTGTCAAGGGTGTATTGATTAATAGGATGATCGAGATGGATAGATGCCGGTCGAGCGTAGATGCGAATGTTAGATGGCAAGTAAGATGAATCCACAGAGCCACAATAAGGTACATCGTAAAAAGTGGAGCCTTGGTCATTTGCGGCATATGCTTTTAAAGATGTTTTTTTAATAATTATTTTAAGAAAAATATTATTCATTGAAAAATAAGCTTAAAAAACTAATATACTCGAAGTTGGTTCGTTCTGCGAATAACTGATCTTGGTTTTGGGAATCGAGTATACAACTCCACAAGGGTTGAAGGAGTAAGAGGATGGACTAGTAGAAGTAATTACCGAATATATGATATTGTTTTCGTTACTGATGGGTAGGTTATTAGACACGTGACTAATACATGGAGCCGGCTGGTATATGGGATGGATAGATGACGCGAGATGATTACGAGTGTGATGTTGGGCGTAGAGAGAACCATTTTGGGGGGCAGACCGAGAAACGATATTGGAAATGTAATAGTAATCAATCTTAGTGAATATTATTAAAAGATAGATATTTTTTAAATAAAATAAGTACGATTGCTATTTATTCAAAAATTAAAACTCTTGATAACTTTATTTTGCACGACATTTCTAACCCCATTCATTGTGAAAGTTTATATAAATATATAAAAGTATGATTTAACTAAACATTGGGAATTATATTAAAACTCAAATAGTTCAAATCTAATACTCGTATTGTTATTGCGTACACAATAAGGAAATGTTACCATATTAAGGAGGTGTTTGGAGAAAAGATTTAACGAATAAATAAATAACATGTGAAATTTTATCAAATGATACACCTCTTAGAAGTTTTTAATTGTAAAAATCGTATCAGGCTTTTTTGTAACGATGAAAATTGCAAAAATTAAGTTATTATTAGATTACCGCAATAGGTGTGGAAGATAGAATCCCCCTGACAAAAGGTATAGAAAGAACAGATTAATTAGGTTACCAAAGAGTAAAGTGAAAACTAAAATAGTAAAAAGGTAATATTGATTCGATTAGAAATATACTTAGGGTCTCTTTACATCTAAGAAAAATAATAAACATATTTCAAAGATTCTCTATTTTATGTAAAATTAAATGCTCGCTTACCTTTAGGCATCGTTTATAGTGGGCGAAATACCGCGGTCGTTCAAGCAATGCGTAATATATATATAATATTAAATTATAAAGCTATGCTATCGTTAGCCATTAATTATGCCTCGCATGAGTGATATAGCGCTTAATATCATAGAAGCCTTAAACTCTAGAGTTGAGCGATTGTTCAATAAAGCAATTGCCGTAAACTTAGGAATGATCATAAGATATTTTTAAAAAATAATAGTAATAGCGCGTTACTTATTAAAGTATCTTTTCCCATTGCCTTATAAGTTAATTATCATATATTGTATTGACTTACTCTATCGTACATATGACCCGGAGGAGTGTGGGAAGCAGCATTGCTTATCAAATAATCGTAATAGTGAAAATTATATTCGTTGCTGGGTCTTTGGTTAAATAAAGAGTGATTTTCCGTAAGCATGCCTATCAAACGAGATATAGGCAAACGTACAATGATGTCGGCATATGATTCTTCTTTGATCCTGTCTGTAATTTATGTTTTTTTTATTATAGCGTATCACATAGGCGTAGCCAGGATTTTGCTAAATGGGAGTGGAAATAGTTGGAGTTTTCCCCATTGACTTTGTTGGGGGACTTTAGGCCCACATTGTAGGTTTTTGCCTAAATTAAATGTTTATAAAAATAATTTTGGGTTTACACATCATTTTTATGAAAATGATTTATTTTTTCTAAAAATTTTGAATTATAGCCGAAAAAATTATTAACTTTTACTAATTTTTATTTCAAATTCTTCTTTATAGTGATATATTGTTTATATTTGGAAGGAGGGGAGAGAGAAAGGTATGGGGGTGTGTAGGGGAAGATTTTTTTATTAACCAGGCAAATTTACGATAGGGGGAGGGAGGATTTATACATTTATCCTCTACGTTCCTGTTTATTATTCCTCTAAAAAATATTATTGTTAGGATTGTAAGTAACAAGTGATTTGTAGTTAATATATGTTAAAAATGGCCGTTATTGCATAAATAATATATTATTGGATTATTAAAATGTTATAAGGCCTAGAATTTAATTTTTATAATATTACGTCCAATAAAAAATTAAGTCAAATTATTATTAGCTCTTGCTTATTATTTAATTTTTTTTATCTAATTATTGTTTATAGTAATATATCGTATATATATTTTGAGGAAATGGCGAAGATGCTGGGGGGGGGGGGGAAGCCGGGATTGGGTATGAGAGAAAATTCTTATTAGTTTAAAATGATATTTACAAGAGCAGCCAAAATGGGGAAAGTTCATACACCCCCCCCCCCTTCGCTACACCTATGCTTGTGAAGAGCTGAAATATTGTACAAGTTAGAAAATGACAAATGCAAATAAGGCTAGAGAGTAATTTAAACATATTGTATGCATATATTACTTTATTTATATGGAAATTATTCGTAATTATTATAAATATTAAAGCAGACTAAATTTTTTAATATGCAAACACTTCGAAATATTCAAATTTAAAATAATAATTCGCAATTAAAACGCTATAACGTTTTGGTATGGCGTCATCCTAAAAAGGGACCTATAATTTAGTGTTTGTTAAAAAGCCCGATTAGGGGTCGATTTTTAAAAACGGCCCGATCAAGGTTATAACCAAAATAATATTATGTTACTCATAGCTGGCAGAAAGGTTTGGGTTCGCTAAATCTTGAAAGTACATAATATTATTTTAGCTATTCGACCCAAATTGGGCTTTTTAACAACACTATACATAGTTTTTATTGTATAGAATATTTTCTTTAAAAAAATTATAATTATCTGGCGGGAAAAAAATATATACAGTTTGGTTTTTTAAATTTTAAAATTATTTTTTAAACTTGAATTAACGGGTATTCAAATAAATTCAAAAAATAATTTGTTTTGATTTTTGTTATGATTTTTATTTTTGAATTTTCTTAATTTATAAATCAGGTTTAAAATATCATATATATATATTTATAAAAAAAAAATTTGAATATTGAGATTTGTATAAAAATATTATTTAACAGTGATGTTGCAAGATCGCTTCTCCTTTTAACCCCGGGGTTGAGCCCGACTTACAAAAAAATTGCGAGACTGGGTTTTTAAATAAAAACTACATGTCAATTTCTAGGTTTTCACCCAATGAATTCTCATTTTAAACCAGTATTAAACTGACTTTCAAAAAATGGTCAAAGCGCAATAGGTTTGGTAAGAGCACGAAACAGCGAAAAACGAAACAGCTATAAATTGCGAATCTCATATCTCCTAGAAAATTTTTAAAGTAAATTTGAAATTGATATTAATAAATGCTAGAAAAGTAAATACATCGATTTAATTTGACGAAATATTCTCCATATTCCCAATTTGGGAATCAAATTGAGGGTATAGATGATATTTCGTTCATTTTTATAGATTATTTAATTTAATGTGTTTACTTCCCTATCATTCATAGATATCAATTTCAAATTTACTTAAAAAAATTTCTAAAAGATATAAGCGATATTCTTTTTAGCTGTTTCGTACCAAATTCCTAGGTTTTAGCCTAAAAAATATGGTTCACAATCAATGAGCCGGAAAAAAATCAACTCGTGATTCAAAGCTTATGGATATATTTTTCGGGATACGCCTTAAAAACCTTGTTTATAGTAGCACGATAAGCGACGCGTAATTTATCGCTAGATGATAGCATAGTTGTATAATTTAACATCATGTTTTTTTGTAAATTACGCAAATCGCTTAACCGACATCGCGATATTTCGCGCTTGCTATAAACGAAGCCTTAAGAATCGAACCAGGACTTTGCTACTTGTTTATCAACCATGGATTAAAGACTCTTTTGAATATAAAATAAAATGCAGATTTTAAATTTTTTTAAAAAAAACTACCTAACAACTTTTTGTGAAAAGTGGTTTGAGGCTCATCCCCGTTCCTCAAGCTGTATAGTGGAATAGGTTCGTAGGTTTTATTATATGAATTGGAATTATTTAAATTGACCAAATGATTGTTATCCAAGGGAAATATTACATCGCTACGCGTTGTATTCGCCATAATGACGTCGTCCCTGGAGGATGCATAAGATATGGCGATCGTAGGGGTCGTCGTGAGCGAGTTCAAATGTGGCGGCGCTAGAAAATTCGCGTTTTCGGAGTTTTTGAAGGATCGAACCGGTAAAGGTGGAGGAGTGGATTGTTTTCGGTCGAGTGCGGAAAAGGCAGATTTCTGTCTTCTGTGGCTTTTGATACCTTGGCAGAAAAAAAAAACAATTAAATGAATGGAGAAGAAGTATTTTGGTTTTAAATTTAAAATTTTATCTTTTAATCCTGAGGTTTGATAGAGAAAAAATCTTGCAAAATAAGAAGGGATGAGGCCCTTATCCCTTTGAGAGCAAGAGGCAGCTTAATAGTGCGCATAAATTGAACGTTTACGTAATTTTTAAATAAAAAACAACGTAATGCCTCCTTTGTTTAAATTGAGGTTGTCTTTTTATTAATATCCTTCGATTCAAAATTTTAACTAAGTTCTAAAAAAAATATTTATTTTTCAAAATTATATTATCGTCTGCCTTCTTATTTATTTAAGTTCTAAATATTCCTTTTTAGAATATAAGTAAGTTATTTAATTTACATTTTCATATAATATTACAAAGCGAAGAATAAAAAAAAGTAAATGAAAAAGCAAACCTATTTGAGTTTTTTTTAAATGGTTGCTAAAGCCAAACGGTAATTTTACCGATTTGCACGAGGCCATTTAAAAAGTATTATTTGCGCTTGCAACGCAGGGTTTGAAACGCTCAATTTGGGCGCACTATAAGTTAGCCAAACCATATTATTTTTTTTAAAAAAATCATGAGAACCAAAAATGTAACCATATCGTACCTTTGTGTGAAATGTGAGATTGGGAAGGTAGACCATAGTAATCCATGCAAGATTTACGGTAGTCTGGGTTGTTCGTAATGTGTTTGCGTGATGAGTCTCTTAAGATCGAAGGATATGGAGTGTTTATGTTTCGATTGGTATCGGCCTTTAAAATATTTAATAAACTCGTCATTTTTTTTGATATCTTCATTATGAATCCGACATTATTTATTTTCAAAGGTGTGCAAGATATTTTTTGAAAGAATTTCGATTATTGATTATATTGAACCCATTTTTATATTTAAATTTATTCGTATTTTATGTTTAATAATATATATCTAATAATCGATAATTTCATCATACAAAAGAATTTGACATGGATTATTTAAAAGCAGACGATTAATAAAATGGTATCCATTGAAGGTAGATGTAATAATAAAATTTTCTTTTTTATTAGGTCTATGCCAATTTTTTACCAGATGCGATATTATCATGGCAAGAAAATGATATTAAAAAGATATTTAAAACTAGTCAGAAACCATCATAGATATTGCCAATATTTTAAATGAGATGATTAACTATTGGAGAATAAATATTTTTTAAAAAAAGGCAAAATGCATTTAATCGTTCGTGATAATGCACCAAATATGGCATTGGTCTTGAGAAACGAAAATTTTTTTAAAGTGTTTCTTGCTTTGCTCATAGATTATTGTTAGTTATTTTATCTTTTGACATTGATTCAGAAGAGTAGATGTTAAATAAAAATCAATGTAAATATCGGATCGGTTTTGTATGAATATCGGATAGGATCGGCAAAAAATTCGTAAATCGGCACAGACCTAATTCGTAGCCAAGTCCGTCACTCTGTTGTCCTCATCTAGATTCATGTGTGTAACGTTTTTTTTTAAAAAAACCAATTAAATCAATCGCGCATGCGTATAATATTTAGAGAGAGAGACCTTTATATGGTAAGATGTTGTAGGTAAAAAGGCTTCGGATTTGTATTGCACTTTACCGTAATCCCCACTTTCGACCCTGTCTTCCTTTACCAAATCGTAGGCATCATACTGAGAATCGCTTACTGTAGAAGTGATTAAAGCAACTGGAAATTTCGATTGGTCAGACGTCACTTGACTTTTATGGGTCAATCGGTCATTGTTGTCATTTTGAACCGTGTCATAATCATCACTGATTGGGTGAGAGGAATGATGCAGATGGATACTTTGGGGTAAAAATTGGTATTCACTAATGATTTTAGGTTTGGTCTTTTTTTTCCCCTTTCTGAAGAGTGTTTGAAAGAAATTCTTTCCTTTATTAACATCGCTAAGTTTATCGGGGCGGGTGTAATGGTGGGTTGATGGTTGTTGGTAGGTATTGTTTATAGTCTTGTAATATTTGTCTTGTTCAACATTTTGGTAGAAATTGGAACTATTTGTTGCCTTAAAATGATTACAATATTACATACATATACATATATATTTTTTTTTAAATTCAACATATGTGCGCTAAAATTAAAAAATATATCATGCCTGCCACTTTAACATTATATTATTTTAAAAATGATAGACAAGCATAATATCATAAATGTCTATAATAAATACATAATGGTGGGCACAAACTGAGCGTTTCAAGAAATTTAAAATGGTACCCCTTGGAATTAGAAAGCATTTTTTAAAAAAAACGGAAACTGTTTTGCTTTTTTCGAAATTTTTTATTCACTTATTCTGCACGTTGGTCTATCTACCACTGGTTTTTTAAGAATTCGGTTTTTTTTCGCAATAAAGCCAACAACCTTGTTATCCAAGTAAGAATATGGGAAGGGAAAGGGGGGGGGGGGGGGAGGGGGTGAGCATTAAAAATTCCTTTTTAGTTATTTAATTATATATGAATTAAATTTAATATTATATAAAAATAAGTTACCTTTCAAAAACGGGATATATAGAAATCAACGAAATAAAAAGGCAGACGATAATATACTTTACAAAAACCGATTTTTATAACTTAGACCTCGTTTAAAGAAAACGCGTTATGTTCAAGCGTTGAATTATTTAAAACAACGTTATTGCAAAATTAAGTTAATAAAAAGATATAAATTTATAAATATGAAACGTTATGATGGCACGTAACCAATGGGAGTGGGGGGAATTCCCCATCCCTACAGCAAATTTCCCTGTTTTCTTAAATATCATTTTCATTATAAGGAAGAATTTGAAAGAAAAAATTACTAAAAATTAATAACTTTTTAAATAATGACTCTAATTAACAAAAAAAAGTTAACCCAAAATAATTTTTTTTTAAAAAATCTAATATAACCAAAGGACAATAGGTGGACCTAAAGATCTCTAACATAATTTCTGGCAAAGAAATTGGCCTAATATTGCTTCCCCCTATCTCCCCTTAGCAAAATTCTGGATACGCCAGTGGTTAAGATGATAACATTTGAAAAACATCTTGTGATGGATGCGTTGATAAAAATAATATGTGATTCGATTTTAAAAAAATGATAAAAATGGTAAATTATTTTTTTTTAAATGTTATATAAAATAATCATCTCTATTTTAGCTTTATCTTTAAATTAATTTTTTAAAAACTGAATCAGCTGTAATAACACTGCGTTAAATAAGGCAACACTTGAAGACCTGTCTACTATAAATTCAGCTTTAGTTAAAGTTTGAATCACCAATATTAATAAAGAGCAACCTCAATTTAAGCAAGGGAATTGTATTATGTAATTTTTTTATTTAAAAAAAAAGTTGTGGCATTATAAAGGTTAAATGATTTGAAAAATAATTTAGTGATAAAAATTTATAATTGGTGGGGAAGCAAAAAGAGCTGGTATGAAGTTAGTTTGGAATATTATATGGTTGAAATCGGCAGGGCATTTTTTCATATTTATTAAAAATTAACTATCTTTATTTCAAAATATTAGATATTTTATAAATTAAAATATAACATAGTAAAATAAATAACCAACCAATCAAATATAACACTGTTTTTAAAGAAATTTATGGGTGGATAATTTTTTCAATAAGTGAACAGGCAGGGGTTAAAATATTTTAAAACAGTAGGCATGTGAGTGGGATAAAACTTGCCCAATGCTGACCCTCAGAGAGGTATTCGAAGGGGTTGGTACGTATTAGATGAAAAATTTTTCGAAAACGGGCAGGCGGGAAGGGTGTGTTAAAAAAATTTTGAAACTATGGACGGGCGGGTGGGTGAGCTCGTTAAGAAATTTAAACAATGGGCGAGTGGGTTAAAGAAATTTAAAATTTTTGTTCAAAAATAAACTTAAAAAAAATTATAATTATTTAAATGATCAATAACAATATTTCTTTTTTTTTATTGTACAAATCGTTTTTTTTAAGTGAAGAACACTTACCTAACTATATTATGTATATGTAATAAACACAACAATAAATCTTTTTTTTCTTAAAATAAATAAACTTTTTTGTGTATTAAAAATTAAAATTTCCTTTTATGGGAATATAATAAAACTTTAAAATTTTTGGATATTGAAAATAAAAATTTTATTTTTTGGGTCTGCAATCTGCATTGTATTATTTTCTTTTAGTAATATAATAATTGTTTATCTTTATACTTCTTCTTTTTATTTTTATTTTATTATATAAAACATATGAATTTTATTTTTTATAACATAATTTTTAATAAAAAAATATTTTTTAATTTAATTTTTATTTTAAAATTATATTATGAATACAAAAAAATTTTTTTACAAGTTAAAAGATAATGAATCAGACAATAAACTCAAATCTTCAATGTGGAAACAATTTAAAATCATTTTCAATGAAAATGATAAAAAGCTAAATTGGATTCACTGCAATGATTATGAATCTATATATAAATATAATAATAAAAGTGGCACATCCTTCTTCTTTTGGCATCAATGTTCATCTGTAAATTATGAAGATTTTATAGATAATAAGAAAATAACCAGATATTTTAAAAAAGACAATTCTCAATTATACAAAATGATAAAATCGGGTCTAATTGTCTATTTGTAGAGGTGTAGTGCAATGTTTTTTTTATTAAATGCTTAAAAAATTGAAATAATGGCCATAATTAAATTTTATAAGCAAGCTTAAGTTAATATTTTTTTATAAATTATGGGTGGACAGGTAAAAAAATTTAGACCAATGGGCAGGCAGGCAATAAATTTTAGACTAATGGGTGAGGCAGGTAGGTATGTATTTTTTTGAAAACTATAGGTGGGCTGGGAAGGTGGGTTAAAAAAAATTTTAAACATTGGTGGGCAGGTTTTTGAACCTCTAGTACATTCCTGCTGTATTTAAAATATCCAAATGTATGACTTTGAATATTTTATTATAGGCATAAATTAAACAATCCATAATTTTTTTTAAAAAAAACATCATTTGAATTATTTAACAAAATAAAAAATAACCCTTTTATATTTAGGAATATAGCATTCTGATAATGAGGCATATAATTGACCACAATTTTTTTTGCTATTTTTAAAAGAAGATTCAATTATAGAAGTAATAGGTTCCAGAGTATTTATATCAGCATTATGTAATACATCTGATTCCAGAAGCTTAACTGATGGTATATCTGGTAGTTGTCTATTTATTTGCCTTGATAATAAAATTAATTAAAACATTCATATTTAATAATAAATAAAAATTAAATAATTATTGTAATAATTTATCAATTTATTAACTACAAACTAGATAGTTATGTCTAAATCCTTAAACTAATAAATTAGATGAATTAAAACAAACAAGTAAATTCTCTTGATGATACATTGAAAAATGAATATTACTTTAGAATTTTCAAATATTTTTGGCAATTGTAATATTTTACTAAACTATTAAAGATAAAGAAAATTGATGCAAATTCCATAATGGTAATTTTTCAGAATGAAAATTTAACAATTTACTTTTTAACATGTGTATCAAATTTAATATGTGCATTATTGAGAAACAGGCCTTTATTTCTAAAAATAAACTATTAATATTATATCTTTAGTCTAATATCATGCTTTTTAAATCTTTTCCTAAAACAAAACATTTATCAAACCACTCCTCATATAACCATATGGATTAAAAGGATTGATGAACAATACATAAATTAATTTAGGTAATGCTAAACCTCGTCGATCTATAAAAACTTATGTTGAAAAGAAGTAATGATCAAAGATAATTAATTGAAGAAAATCCAAATATAATTGTGCAAATATATCATTGGGATAGCACAAGAATAGTTTTGACACTATAAAATATGTCAATTTGACAATAATTTAATCATCCTTTTCTGCATTTAGACTTTGGGTACGTCTAAACTCAAAAGGTTTAAAAAAAATGATTCTCGCATTTATATATTATGCGTCCAAACTCGATTTAAAATTTTTTATTATTTAATTGTTTTAATTAAATTGTGACTTTTGACACACTCTTTATATGCTAAAATATAATAAAGCATTCTAAACAAAAAATAATAAAAATAAAAGATAAATAATATTAAGTTTAAATTAAGCTAAAAAATGTAATATCAATCATGGTATATAAAATAATATTTAATTTAAGAAGAAAAATGAAGAAAAAGAAAAGTTAAGATTAAAATATCTTTTGAAAATTAAACATTAAATATTAGCTTCTCTTCCTTAAGATAAAAAAAAAATAATCAAATATGATGTTATATCTGTTCTCAAATTGTCATTTAAATTGATGCAGTATTATCATTATAAAAAAGTTGAAATTTGGGTTTAATAAAATTAAGAAACTAAAATAGAATAGAAATATAATTAAAACATAAATTATAACACCCATTTGACTTATATAAATGTTGTCCTTATTTATATAGTATTAAAATTATAATAAAAAATAAAAAAAAATTTAGATAAAAGTAAACAAAATTTTATATTTGAAAGTTAAAATTAAAAATTAAAAATTAAAAATTATAATTTCTTCCTCATTTTGCAAAAAAAATAATCTTTATATATCTTTAATTATCTTGATTTAAGTAATCAAATATAAAAATATATCTTCTGATTGTCTATGAATGATAATAATTCCAAAATTACTCAAAATATATTGTATATAAATTATAATAAAACGAATATTAAAATTATGTTAAAAAAATATATTCTATTATCTCAACACCATTCCACTTAAATTAGGTCCAACCTTCATCCTTTCCAATTTAGACTCATGTGCATATATATTTGTCTTTATTCTTTCACGATTGTCTCTTTTGTGCATTTGACAAAAGCTCATCGTGTTGAGAAATATTGAGCACTGGTAAAATTTCAACTTCACGATTCAAATTAATTTTATTGCCAGACTTTCAATTCAAATGCAATTAAGAAAGCTAACATAAAATGAAATTTATTTCTATGTATAAAATTACATTTTTATTTTATATAGGAATTAAAAAAACTGGAAAGTCTAATAGAGAAATACAATATTGTTGGCAAAAATAAAATGCAGGGGGAGTTAATTCTAAGAACATCCATTATTACATCAGAAAACGTAAAACTTTGTTTATGATATCGGAGAAACCATACGCTTTTCATATATTGAATAAAATACATGTAATAATTTTTAAAAAAAGTAATAATGTACACCTATTAAACTCATTAAAATGTTTATCTAAATCCATCATACTTATATTATTATCTTTAATATGCATGTGATGATGTTAAAAATCGCGAAAAATAATGTGTATTATAAATATAATGTCCATATTAAATTAGGAATGTACAATGGTACAAAGAGTTAAAATGGTGCACTATACCAGCATCAGGTTAATATGCGAATTAGATACATATTTTTATTTAGGCCATAGGCATAGCCAGAGAGGGGGGGCAAGGGGAAATCCCCCTACCCCTTCAGAAATTTATCACTTTTTGTGAATATTATTTTAAGTTAAAAAAAATACCCCTTAGTCTCCCCCTCCCTGACCCTCAAATATGTATAGATAAATATTAAACAATAATTTGAAAGAAAGAATGTAAAAGTTGATATTTTTTTATAAAACTATTCATGATAATTTATACATTTTTGGAAAAAAGAATTTATATATATAAAGTAAACCAAAAATGTTTTTAATAAATGGAATGTAAGCCAAAGATAAGTCTTAAGACAAAAGTATAATGTATTTTAATTATAAATAATATAAGATCCATAAAATTACTAAATAATACAATATATCAAATATAATTTTGTACAAAGTGAGTAATTTTAATTTATTTATCTTAATAAAAGTAAAATATAATTATAAAACTATTGATAAAATTAAATCATAAATTAAATAAAAAAAATTAAAGCACAATACAAACAGTGGAATATTATATGTCGTAGATTTACAGTAAATCTTATCAATTATCATATGACAATCAAGTAATTTTTACCAAAATAGCGAATTATATAATTTACAGAAAACTATAAAATGTTGATAAGGACATCATAAAATATCTTTTAAAGAGATTGTGGGATGAATAATTAATTTTTAATATCAATTTTTATTTAATATAAATAGATGGCGTTAAATAATTAAGTGCTAATTGTTGCTATATTTATTATCAAGAGCATTGATTAGTAAAATTTGTTAAAATATTAAATGTAATATATTCTCTGACTCAAATATGTCTGTAAAAGTGGAATTTTACCTAGTTTTTTGTAACTAATTCTATATAATAGAGGAATATCAACTATATGACTACTTACCTTTTATAAATAAATTTCTTATACTTGTTTGTAATAAATTATTACCATGCTTTTATATTAATGTATATACATTAAATTCATAATATTTTATATAAATTAATAAAAATATATTTCATATTTGTTCCAGGCTTTTTTTATTAAAATTAACCTCCTATCTTGTAAAAATATTTTATAACTATATATAGACTAAGGTCGCCCCCAGTAAATTTTTGATTCCCCCCCTTAGGAAAATCCTGGCTACGCCTATGATTTAGGCATATATAATGAAACAATTAAAATAAATGTTTGTAAAAACAAAACACTTATAGCCCTTCCCTTTAAGGTTTAGCTGAATGTAATAGTCCCTCGTTTTATCTATCCTTGAATAATATTGATAATTATTTTAAGCTTCATGATTTAATTGAAATAAAAATTTGAATAGCTCATGAAATTAAAATATTTTTAATAATGATGATGATAAATTACTCAAGTATAATTAATGACACTAGAGGATGCTTAAGATTTATCCAAGGATATATACAATAAAATCTTTTTTTTGAAAGGAGCAAAATATTTTTCCCATTTATTAAAAAATGATTTAAAATCCCCAACTCAATTAGAGAATTATTTTTAAATAAAATTTATTATCGAAAGGGATCAGAGATGTTCAACCTGAATAAAAAAATAAAATACAAATATAATAATGTCAGACTTTTATATATACTAGTAGATAGCCCGTCAATGACGGAGAATGAGAATTTTATTCGTTTTTTTAAGAAAGATGTTACCTTTTATTTAAAAATCATATTCAATTTATATAATTTTTAAACCCCCCCCCCTCCCCATTTAGGTCAGGTCCAAGCAATGTCATTGAGTCCAACCCATTAGGACTAAGAGTGGAAACTATTATTTGAGTCAAAATATATTTAAATGAGCTTGTACCCAATACCAAAATCCTTTGTAAATATATTACTGGTTACATAAGACCAACATTTAACATTAAAAAATTTCAAGCCAGGTCCAAGCTCATAATATTTGGAAAAAATTTCCACGCGTTCAAGACCTTATAATTTATAAAAAAAATTCTCAAGCCTAGTAGATAAAATAATTAGTATAATTAACTTAATTTAATATTCTTATTTGAGTATATATCTTTTCTTTTTTTTAAAAAGAATTTAGCTTAATTTATTAATCTTACTTCTTCAAAAGGAAACTTTGATTAAATCTGTTTAAGAGTGCCCTTATTTAGAGAATTTTTTTAAATAACTGGCACTCCGATTTCAGGAATTCAAGAAAAATGATAGTCTCTAAAAATAGATATGATCATAAAAAATGAACAAATAAATTACTTCTTCTGATTTCAGGAATTCAAATAAAATGATAATCTCTAAAAATTGGTATCTTGGCACTCCGATTTCAGTCAAGGAAAATGATAGTCTCTAAAAGTAGATATGATCATAAAAAATCAACAAATAAATTACTTCTTCTGATTTCAAGAATTCAAATTTTGTATAGCCTAGTAGATAAAATAATTAGTATAATTAACTTAATTTAATATTCTTATTTGAGTATATATCTTTTCTTTTTTTAAAAAATAATTTAGCTTAATTTAATAATCTTACTTCTTCAAAAGGAAACTTTGATTAAGTCTGTTTAAGAGTGCCCTTATTTAGAGAATTTTTTTAAATAACTGGCACTCCGATTTCAGGAATTCAAGGAAAATTATAGTCTCTAAAAATAGATATGATCATAAAAAATGAAAAAATAAATTACTTCTTCTGATTTCAGGAATTCAAATAAAATGATAATCTCTAGAAATTGGTATCTGGCACTCCGATTTCAGTCAAGGAAAATGATAGTCTCTAAAAATAGATATGATGATAAAAAATCAACAAATATATTACTTCTTCTGATTTCAGGAATTCAAATTTGGTATAGCCTAGTAGATAAAATAATTAGTATAATTAACTTAATTTAATATTCTTATTTGAGTATATATCTTTTCTTTTTTTAAAAAAGGATTTAGCTTAATTTAATAATCTTACTTCTTCAAAAGGAAACTTTGATTAAGTCTGTTTAAGAGTGCTTTTATTTAGAGAATTTTTTTAAATAACTGGCACTCCGATTTCATGGATTCAAGGAAAATGATAGTCTCTAAAAATAGATATGATCATAAAAAATGAACAAATAAATTACTTCTTCTGATTTTAGGTATTCAAATAAAATGATAATCTCTAAAAATTGGTATCTGGCACTCCGATTTCAGTCAAGGAAAATGATAGTCTCTAAAAATAGATATGATCATAAAAAATCAACAAATAAATTACTTCTTCTGATTTCAGGAATTCAAATTTGGTATGAACGTCTGTTTATAAAAAAATCAACAAGTAAAAAATAAATAA